GCGAGTGGTGTCAGTAGATAGTCGTATCTTTGGGCACGCACATCATCTTAATCTCATCACAAATCAGTCAGTAAGTACCGTCAGTAATTGTAAATAGAAGTAAGTAAAAGGCTCTTCCAGCTCCAGCCATTATAATATTACTGAGCATGCGCAGTTGGCTGCATCAAAATGGCGTCCAACCACTTGGTGAATCAACTGTGTACTTGAAAATAATGACGAGAAATCATTTTGTAGAATCAAAATGCCAAACCACACTGCACTAGCGTCCCTTAAGCGCAACAGAATGGTGCAAAAATTATCTTTCTAGGATAAAAACTGTAGGACTAGTTCTCCCTTAACTGTGGAAGAAGAAGAAGGAGAAACCTGAACATTTGGTGCATGCAGGCATGCATGCATTCATTGCCGTAAAACTATCTTGTGGAAGTTTTTAGCTACTTTTTATAACACTAACCTATTTTAATAAAATTATAAAGGAAATCTTGACTGTCAGATAAGCTATAAAGAATTCCTGAAGATGTACACAGGCTCAATGCTTCTGGGATGGCGGCCATTTTGGGGGCGCGCTCGTCCAACTCAACCCTACATACCAAGCGCTAGCGCTTGCTAGCGCTTGGTAATAAGGTGTAGTTTACATTCTCTTATACAGTACAATAACTGTTATTGTTTTTATTATAGAATTAAAAGTTTATATACTGTTAATAAGCAAACAAAGTTAGTCTATTCTCTATTACATTAAGCTTTTTCTACTTTAATAGAGTTGATGATGATATTGCAATGCAAGTATGTGAACCATGTGAAATTCACAAGACTAAACAAAGTGAAGAGAATGAAGGAGTATATGATGAATGTCAAACATCACCTGATGATGTTTATGAGCATATGCCACAATAAATGCATGTGCTATACAGAACAAAAGTACATTTGTAACTTTTTAAACATTTTCACTAGTTTTAGTTCAGCAATTAATTTTGTTTACATATAGTTATACATTACATAGTTCGTGTGAAAAAAAGAGAACAAAATTTTATTAGTACATTCAATAATCACTGTCTAGATTTGATTTTAGTAAATTGTATGCAATCTATCTTCATTTCTTGTCCATCTAAAGAGACAAATAATAGAGGGACTCACTTATACTTACCAAATTAAAATTTTCATTTTTTCTATGTTGTTAAAAAATACATGTACATTGTGCCCCATATAATTTTGTGAGAGCAAAATTTTGCAATTTAGCTTAATTTTGTATTTGCAAATAAAAATTTTGTGATTTTAATGTAATTACTACACCCTTTGCCTTCATAATCTGCACTCTATTTGCTGATTTTCATTTTGCAAATTTTTTCAATATGTAAAAATCTGAAAATTATTTAATCCCTGCAAATTATTGGTGTATACGGTATAGTCTTTTGTACAATTTTGTCAGAAATATATATCAGATAATTCTTTATTTTTATAATTTTCGTAATACATATGCTGTTGTATTTCAAACTTGAGCTGATTTTAATCAATTTCAGATTTCTTACAAATTTTTCCAAAATTGAGTCAAAGTCTCTGTCTGTATGAGGTGTTTGACAAAATTTTGCCAAGAATAAAAAGGAGAGTTTTTTCTGATACATATGTATGTTTTTATGGTGTATTTCAAAATTGAACTGATTCCGATCTCATTTGGTTTTTTACAAATTTTGAAAGTTGCTTCAAAATCAAGCCTTCAACCACATCAATCCTTTGATAAAGATTTTTGACCAAATTTGCCAAAAATGAAAAGGAAAAGGTCTCCTTTTTATATATTTTCTGATACTAACTAATGCATGTTTTATGCTGTATTTTAATTTAAAATTGATTTTTAATACATTTGGCTTTTTTAATTTTAAAGTTGCTCTAAAACTGGGCTAAAATCCAGTACAAAGTCTTTGGCCAAATTTTTCCAAAAGTAAAAAGGAGAGAATTCTCCATTTTAATAATTTTTCTGATACAAATCACTGTTCTTATGGTGTATAGAAAATTTAGCAAAATTGAATTTTTTCATGAATTTTAAAGTTTTAAGAGTCTGACAGAAGAATGAAGAAATCAATGTCTAAATTTAATGACAACTTTAACCATTTGTCATACTTCATATTTAGATGTGAATTACTGCGAATATAATAACTTCAAATTGATTGCCAATAGACAAGCTGTGTAATATTAATCCTATGATGTGAACTGCAAACATAATGCATGAATGCACCTCACTGAAACACAATACATGTGCATAGTTTATGCATGGTTTATGCACAGAGTTATGTGTGCATGGTTTATGCACAGAGTTTGTCACAGTGCGTAAACATGTTATTGTTTTGAATTATCATGACATGTGACGTGTAAGGCTTTTTTGTGCTTTATCATAACTAAAAAAAAACTGTGATTACCAGTAACTATTGGCAATGTCAGTATCCTTGATGATTATAGTCTTCTTGTTGAGTGTCAGTGAAGTTATTAGTCAATGTCCACCTTCCTCAGGTAAGATGCTGAATGTGTACAATAACAACTGTATAGGTTTTTATAGGTATCTACCTGATGCATGATGGAAACTGTTATACTAATGGATCATATTTTTGGGATAATACTGTCAATGCAGTTACTAAGAATATATCATGTGTGTTACCTGGTACTAGTCTAACTACTGGTCAGTGGGTTAGAGTTGCTGATCCTGATGATCCTGTTGACTGTAACAGTAATAATGACAGTAATCCTTTTCGTTGTACTAATATCACTTCACCTAATGCTACTCTCAATCTTTATCTTGCTCAGGGACTAGCAGCTCAAGAAGGCTGGTACAAGTGTTGTCTACCCACTAATTGTTCAGATCCTAACACTAACATCATCTTTGCTAATATATTCAGTAAGAGGAGACTATAATCACTTATTCATGTAATAATTTTCATTTGTAGGATATGCAGAGATAGAATCATTTACTGTTGCTGATCTTCCTTCTAACATGACAGTATATCCTCAGGAATGCAAACTAAAATGTGTCAAAATTGGACACAATACTTATGGTATTAGTATGAGCATTGGTAGTACTGCACTGGCAAGTTACACTAATTGTGCAGACGGATTTAATTTTCATTGTCCTGGTACTGTGTTAGTTAGTAGTACTAACACATTAAGATATACTGTTAATATCACATGGGATGAAATGACTGTCAGCAGTGGATCAATCAGTCAATCAACCACTGGAGATCAAATGTATCAGTGTGTACTGGATAATATGAATGATGGTGCTGATAGAACGCATGCTTTAACCATAAAAGGTAATGTCTACACATGTCATTATGATTCTATTATGTATATCTCTTTCGGTTAGTTCCAGCAACTGCTCCCTCTTCTCTTACTGAGGTCAACAAGACAGCTACCACTATCACTGTCAGTTGGACTGCACTTGATTCATCTGATGCTGATGGATATGTAGTCAATGTCACTAGTGACACAGACACTGTGCAGACAGCACAGGTGGAGGGAAGTAGTAATAATACAGTCACACTGAATGGACTGAGAGGAGGAACAACTTATAGCATCATAGTCAAAGCCTATCAACAATTACTGGGAACTGCTAGTACAATCAGTGTACAGACCTTACCAGGTATTGCTACTGCACCTTTTAATGTACTTGTAACATTGTTGATGTGTTTCTAGCTATTGATTCTATCAATTGGACACTAGTCTCATCAATTACACAACTCAATAACACTCAATATCGTATTGATTGTCTCACAACTACTGATATAAATCCTTCAAATGATGTTTACTGGATAGTAAATGGAGTGATGAAGAGTAACTCAATGTATACATCAATTGATGTCCTGACATACAACAACACACTACTGGTATATCCTGATCCACTGGGAGTCTCAGTTAATGTTACCTGTATAGCAATGATTGGAGGAGTCAGCTATAGTCAATCTGTGATATTACATGGTATGATTATACTTTAATCAATAGTAAATACTTTTGTCTCTTTTCTAGCTCCTAGTGGTCCTCCAAATAATGTGAGAGGGTTTATATTAAATCCTAATAGTATCAAAGTGAACTGGACCAATCCATCAGAGACTAATGGATATATGATTGAGTATACTACTGGAGGTGTAACCAGGAATGTAGTATCTACCAGTGAAGATAAAACTGTACTAACAGATCTCTCACCAATGAGTACCTATACCATCAGTGTGTACTCATATATAGATCTTCCTTCAGTTAATAGTACAGTAACAGTGTTAAGATTTGATGGTGAGTTATTATCATTGAGAGAGTGTAATTGATATCTGTTGTAGTTCCTAGTCCAGTAACTAGTCTCTCAGTATCTAATGTCTCAACCACTGGTATTACAGTGAACTGGACTATTCCTAGTAGTGACAACTATGTAACATACTACACCATCTCCTATACTCCATCTTGTCCCCAGTTATCATCAGTGAATGAGACAGTCTCTGTTGGTCCTCATCAGTCCACTACAACATACAGTTATACATTAATAGGTCTGTACAATGGTATGAACTATACCATCACAGT